GATCTATATATATGCAGCATATTACTGATTTATAATATCCTTATTATGAAAAAAAAAAAATATGAATGGGTTTACCAGCCATTTGCAGAAAAAATAAATAAGATCTTTAAATTATTGATATTACATTTACTAATGAAATCTAAAGTTAAAGGTTTATTTAATAATATTTTTTGCCCACTAATTAATTACGAATATTATTTCAATTAGATTATACATTGGATAATCTTGAATTTATTATTAATGCAATTTTCGATATTTCATTAATAGTTATTCTTATATATCAACGTAGAATATAAAACTGATGTTGTTATTTAACTCTCTTCTTAGTCTAAGATAAAAACCTTAGTTTGTATTTTATTTTCGATCTTCGATGTAATGCGATGCCCTATATCCTTGTAGAAGGCTAGGGCCTAAGTACGAAAGGGATTTAGTGTTGAAACAATTATTGATAAGGAAAAAATTATTGAAAAATAAATAAAAGAATATTTTCGCAGATTTATTTCGTTCTGCGTCTACAATAGTATCATTTTTAGTGGATCTAGACGAAAAATTTCAGATTAAAATAGTACCACTTTTCACCATTACAAAGTTTACAATCTGCGTTACAAAGTCCAGTTGGCTCATAGGTTGAGAGAATTCAGGCTGATTTCAAGGCACGAGATATAGTGTCATTACATTTGGTATGTCTTAGAAATCTAATTTCACAGAGTTTGAAATGCAGGAAGTGGCAACCTTCCGAGCAAACAGGAGTCTGATAAAATGAGCATGAATATGGCATAACCATATTGCAATTAAGTATGAGTCCGATAGCATGGCGTAGCTCATCGTTTGTAAGTAGTAAATCAAGATTACTTAAAGGGGTTGCTTCAATAAATTCATAACCGTTATGAAATTGAAAGAGAAGGAAATGTTCCATAGGTTGACTTCTCGATTTAAGTAATGCAACGGAATTGCCAACCAATGGTAAATCTCAATCTCTTTGCAATAAGATTGAAAGAGGATAGACTAGGAAAGAGGATAGATTAGGAAAGAGGATAGACTAGGAAAGAGGATAGACTAGGAAAGAGGATAGACTAGGAAAGAGGATAGACTAGGAAAGAGGATAGACTAGGAAAGAGGACTTCCAAGGATCGATAGCCTGAAAGAGTAGATGATCTGGGTGGTGAGTCGTTAATTTGCTGATGATTGAAATTAAAAGCAATAACAATTAACATTATTATATGTGTAAAGGCAATAAATTTAAAAATATCATTTTAGCATAATTCTTTGCTTCAATTATAATAATTTTTCTTTGTAGATATTTCCATCATCCTTTGAATGGGTTTTTGTTCAAGACCCAGATATTAGAGAAAAAGAAAAGAAGAGGTGATGTAAATGATAGTCAAGGAATTGTCTACCTTCACAGTTTTCCATTTACATCAAGTTCCTAAGGTAAAAACTAACCTGACATCTTTATTGATGAGCCCTCTACGTAATAAAAATAATTTAAACATAAAACAAAACCTTGACAATTTTTTAGAGTACATAGGGAAGGATTTCACAATTTAAAATCATTTTCCTATTAATAAATAGAAAACACAACGCGACCATTCCATTCAGCATGCCGGTTGAACATTTATTTAGTGTCTTTAAAAATGTTTTTACTAAAATAATTATATGCACTGATTTTAAATTAAGAATAATTTTGACGTGCTAATAAGAAAATAATTAAGAAAAATTATGATAAAGCAAAAAATTTAATTTAAGATTTATCATAAATGTGTAAAATTTAAAAATAAAAAAAACTAAATCTTAATTTTTTCTATCTAAAATAATAATTTCTATTGTTTTATCGATCATAATCAGCTAGGGATAGGTTGTGCAAAAGTATGAACGAGCTAATTCAGGAATTTGTCATGCCTAACAAATTTAGGCCAATCAAGTTTAAAAATCTTGGGTTTTATGGCGGGTCTGACCCGCATTCATATTATTGTGAGTTTCTAAATTTGAGTATATAATTTTATAATGTTTCCAAATAGGAAAAATTATGATACTTTTCATCAAAATAGGGATCTATTATATCCATAAGCAAGTTAAATTTCGCAATTGAACTGACCATTCTTTTTAGTAATAAATCTGTCAATTCTAAATATAATTCACTATAATTTTATAGATTGTGAGAGAGATAAATTATCAATGTTATTTGCAAATTTTATTATAAAAACAAGGTCCAAAGTTATGAGCATTCAAAGTTGGACAAACAAAATTCGAATTTTCCAACATGTAAAAATTTTTTTTTTTATTATTAAACTTAACATTTGAGCAAAAGTTAGTAAAATGGTTTTCAGTAAAAATACTTGATTTTAATTAAAATTCTAAGATAATATAAACATTATGGTGCCAAATTTTTGAAAGAATTTCTTAACAGAAACTAATCTATTCCAACCTTAAATCGATTCAATTGATTGCAAAAATCGATGCTACCAGATCAGCAGAAAAGCGATAGGTGGTAGACCACGTACAACTCGTATTATGAAAAATGTTGATTCTGTTGAAACACTCACATTGAGCCAAAAAGATTGATCTGGCATCCACAGAACAATTCGTAGAATATCTTAAGAAACTGGTATTTCGAAAACTTAAGTGCATCAAATTATCCAAGATCTGCAGCTGGAATGTTTAAAAATGGAACAAGCTCAGGACCTACCCGATACAATATGACTGTCCGTACCAAACAACTTCTACCATGATTCATGGGTGAAGATGTTTACAGCATCCTCACCAGTAAATCTGCACAATGATAGGGTGTACTTTGCTGTTTAAATAAGAAAACAAGTTGTTGCCAATCGATTGCTTCATACTTGTTTAAATTTATCAAAATCCGTCATGGTTTTAGTTGGAGTAACATGTCTTGGCTGCAAAGAGCTCATCTGATCCAAGCGTTAAAAAAATGAATGGTGAATGCTATCATGACGTTTTACTCAATGAGCCCTTATTACCTCCTATTAAGAAATAGTCGGGCAGTGAATTCTTTATATTCCAGCAAAACAGGACAGTGCTTCAGTTCAATGAGCTAGAGAAACTGAAGATCTTCTTTTAAGAAAAACTAAAGATTTTATGTTACCCATTTTTCCCCCTCACCACTCCAATAGCCTTGATCTCAATCTGATCGACTACAAGACATGGAGATTATTTTAAGAACGCGTTTATCAAATCCAGAGACACCATTTTGACGATTACAAACAGTGGCTTGTGGACAGAAACATTGATAATTTATCCCTCTCTTAATTTTTTGTAAATTTAGTTGAATTATTTTTAGAATTGACAGATTTATTGCTGAAACAAAAAGGGTTTCAGTTCAATTGGAATAAAGTGTACGATATAATATCATTTATCGAACTAGGGGGTCAGAAATTGCTGTCACTCTAGCTTTTCACAATATATATATAATTTTTTATATCTGATACAATGTTATTATATAGAAAATAATACTATTTTAGCAATATTTAAATTAATGGAAGAAGCATAATTTGTATTACAGCAGATTCTATGCTAAAAAAACATTATGAAATGGCCAATTTATTTGGAAAAAGATTAATAATGAGGTTAATTTATTAAATTTTACATTTCATAAATATGAATTGTGGTTGGACTTTGACATTTACCTAACAATAGTTAATTTTTAAGATATACGAATATATAAAATTAGATTCGTATTATATACAAAACTTTCTATTGTATCGTGCTAGAGATGTTATTTATTTATGTTGAGTGAAATAGATTCAAATTAAATTTTATATAAATGACATATTATTATTTCTACCCAAATAATTGAGCAACACTTTAGAGCTTGTAGAATAGATTATGCTATTTTAACGTTTTGATGGTAATTACAATTGATATTATAGAGTAAATGGAATTTATGAACAAAATCTATTAAATGGCAATTAACTTTATTAATGGATAAATAATCGTGTTATAATATATATAATTGAGATTGATAGCGTTTACATTTTATAAAGAAGAAAGATATTAATAATTTTATTTATTCTATAAAAGAGTAATATTTCTCTTATTATTTGAACTATTAAATTATCTAAGACGGCAATGATTGAGTAGGGGATAATAATAGGATATTATGATATGATAATCTAGTTAGACCTATCCTTTTCAATATTTACCTAAGGCATAATATATTATTGAATAAATATCCTTGAATTCTTATGAAATTTATGTTTTGTATTAGTTTTAAAGTATTTAGTGGGTTAGGGGTTTGTAATTGGAGAATAGTTATGAGTCATCCATTCCTCTCAATAAAATTTAAGAGGGGGCAGGAAAATATATTTTTGGGTAACAACAATTAATCCAAAATAAGTGTTCGTTCCTTCAATTTTAAAGAAAAGAGAGCATAGAAATGAGCAAAACTTGCGGGACCTTGCACTCTCCTTATGTTTATTTATTCAATTTTTTAAAATGTTTTTATTACTTAGTTGAACAAAATTCGCGGTAAGCATTTTTTTTTTGTTGCGAAAAATTTACTTATTCAAATCAATAGTTTTTTTTATAGATAGAAATCCTCAAACTTTGATCTATATTCATGTCATATATAACATTTTCTATAGAGACTAGATAGTTACCTGGTCATCATAATCATTTAAAAAATCTGATTTAGTTAAGATTATAAATGACTATTATTTTTCCTTTTTACATATAATGTTTTAAAATATTTGTTTACCAAATAGCAAACTGATTAATTAAAGCCAGAAATTAAAAACCGAAACGAATATATTTACATTTCAGGCTCAGGTTTAGATAATAACTATACCTACACAAATACGAATCGAATAATGGAATTATTCGTACTCGTTTAAATCGAATAATTCATTATTCGTATTCGTACGAATAATAAAATGATTATTCGATTCGATTCGTCGAATATTCGATTCAATTCGAAAATTTTATTTAACCATAAATTAAAAAAGATAGAATATTAAATTTATTTTGTAAAATTTAACTATGGATAAAAGACAAACAAATTTTATTAGTAAGATAATATAGAAGCATATATATATATATATATATAGTATTTTTATATATAATGTAGTAAAATCAATATAATATTCATATCATGTAGAAGACAAATATACCAACAACAAATTTTTTAAACAAAAAATTTTTGCAAAAAGTAAAATTTATGATTTCTCCATCATCAAACGACGGAGAAATATCTGGTTCGCCCGTCATTCTTGATGGGATGGCTACTAGTTTATTATAATTGTATATGTTTTATAAATTGCATATAAAAATAAATACTTTCTTCGTCCATCATAAAACAATTTTCGGAAGTTAATTTTGTATTATGAAGTTATTCGAATAAAAACAGCCGTTAACAACAATTTTAGAAATATAAAATGTTTCTTCATTATTCCACTAGGAAATTTTATTAAATAGGAATAATTGCAAATAATTCCTACTAATAATATATGATTATTTTTCAATATTTATTAATATAAATTACTTTAATCGAATAATCTCGAATAATTCGATCGAATAATAGATAAAAAATTATTCGACGAATAATATATTTTCCTTATTCGAATTCGATTCGAATTTTCGAATGGAATAATTTTGATATTCGTATTCGTAAAATAAGAATCGAATCGAATAATTGCATTCTGATATTCGTATACCAAATTTGGCTTATGGATATAGCAATGCGCTTAAATTGCCATTGCATGGTAGAAACGTTCCTGCACTTCATAAAGATAGTCTTTCATCACACTGTGCCATAGAAGAATTGTGCCACACATATCCCTTTAATTAAATATTTTGCAAGGTTTTTATAAGAGTATTAATTATTAGCATCCAAATCACCCATCTTTTCAAAAGCTTGAAATTCTACTGCCAATATAAACTAATATCTCGATTATAATCCTCGATAACTGCATAATAATCAAATGCGTTTCAAAATTCAAAATTACATTCCAAACTAGTATTGTTAAATGGCTAAGCCAGGTCCTAAACTTAGCCAAATTTAGAGTCTAATAATAGACCCAGATCCAAGCCAGCTCAATGAGCCGAATAAGTCGGTTCAGGAGTTTCGGCTCAGGAGTTGCTCGATCCGGCTCCCATTTGAGAATCCCATATTTTATACATGATAATATTTAATAACAATTACTTTTTTGAGTACCATGAATAGTATGAGTATAATATATTGAAAGGAATCTATTACTAATCAAATGAAGGAATTCTGATTAATTATACTAGAAATGGAATAACCAAGAAAATTTTGATTTGCAATTGTAATAGGATCTGGCATGCGATTTATATTATTACTTTCTGATTGTATGTATAATATATAAATTATTATATATATTTAAAATATTTATAAATTAAAATTAACTTGTTTTAGTTTTTCTTTAAGTAGATTAAAATATTACCATGTTTATTTTGAGAATTCATTTATATGTTAATTTGTTATCAAACTCGGATGACACAATTATTTTTAAAATTTTAATAAATTATTTATTGAATGAATGGATTCTAAAGTGAAAATGAAGGAGGGGGGGGGGGTTATTTATTGAATAAATTGATTCTAAAGTGAAAATGAAGGAGGGGGGGGGGGGTGAAGTTATTTTTATTCGACTTATCGATGGTAATTCCCTTCTCTTCTAATTTAATATAGTAATTTATATAAGTCAGTCCTTTTGCACTCTCTCCTTGCCAACATACGTAATTGCCTGAATTTAGGACAACGAAAAAGAGAGATAATTACTTATTTTTAAAAAAAATTTCCCTTTAAAAGTGTTATATATTTTGAATATTGAATGTATCTTTGGTGCTTTTAATTTGATTGAATGTCACCTAAAATAATGGTTAGTTGAATAATTAATTTGAATAATATTTAATAAGATATTACTATAAATATTTTCCAAGAATCGAAAATGGGAAAAGGAAATATGATAAATGAATGAATGTGGGGCCTGGCCATTTTTATAAAATTTTTTTTAGGCCCAGTCCGGGGATATTTAAATTTTAAAAAATACGAACCAGCCCAGCCTCTGGTACATATAAAGATAAAATAATAAATGGGAAAAAAATCTTATTTAGGATAGGCTAATTTATCCCTGTGTATTGTATTTAACATATAATCCTTATAAATTCCCGAGTTTGTTGGGCTATGACTCTGGCAAATTTTATCAGAATTTACATAGATTATTGAACCTGTCCGCTTTTTTTAAAAAAACTCATAAATCATGAATCGCCTATAATTTTGATAATATTTTACTTATATAAAAGAACATTTGTTAATTAATTTATTCTTTTCTTTTCTTACTCATTTTTAAACAAACAAAGAAAACGATTTATTTGTCATAATTTCTATTTATTTTATTTAAAAACTTGAAACTTCAACTTATAAAAGAAAGATGTTGGATAAATTATTTTTTAGAAAAATGAAAATTAATTTCTTTTTTAAGAAAATTGCTTCTTTTATCTCTCCTAATGATAAACTTTTAAATTCAGCCTTGACAGCTTGGGTATCTTTAGCTCCACCTGAAGCTGTTTTACTCACAATTTTAACACACCAATCTATTTTCGAACCTTTAATTAAAATTTTTTTTAAATAATCTCATCAAACCCCCATTTGGAGTATATTCAACTATTACAGAATGCTGACTGTACTAGTGGTTATGAATGGTTGGAAGCATTACCAAGTCGTAAACTAGGTAACCTCTTATCAGATGAACAATTAAGAGTTTCCATAGGTCATCGACTTGGGTGTAACATTGTTCCACATACATGCATCAAATGTAAAATGTTAGTTGACTCCAAAGGGAGACATCGTCTAAATTGTATATATAGTCAAGGCAGGCATGCAAGGCATGCAGTAACTAATTTAGCTATTAGTCGTTCTCTTACCAGGGCCCAAATACCAAACATTCTGGAGCCTACAAATTTATCATTAGATGATGGCTTAGACCAGATGGATTAACTTCCGTGCCTTGGTCTTTAGGGAAATCCTTAATTTGGGACTTCACATGCGTATCTTTTTTTCCAAAAAATTTAAATTCTAATCCACAAATTATACCTTTATACCGATCGTTATCTCTTTCCTTGAACATATGCCAAGCGGAACTTTAAAATTCTTAAAAAATAGGCGATAAGATAAGAGCCCTTACATCAACCAAAAGAATACTATTATTTTTTAAAACAAAATCTACAAATAACTATTTTAAAATATAACTATTCATGTTTTTTGGTAACTTGTAGTCCCACCTCCGTTTTTATAAAATAATGTTTTATTTTAAAAAAATAATAAATTAAATTAAATAATTGTGACTATACTTGCTTCTATCCAACCTCTCATTTTCTGTCATCAATGAAGGATTTGACCTTCATCAGCAAATTTCTCTTAAAATCTGCCGGTTCAATTTTTTAAGAATTCACTCTTCTTTAGGGTGAAATGTACTTTTTAAATATTTATTTTTAATATATATTTATTTGTTTTTTTTTAAAATATATTTTTAATTTGATATTGTTCATATGTGTATTTAATTTTTCTAAATTGAAATCGCTTTTATAAAAAATAAAAAATACTAAGCACAAAAGGATAATTAATACTAACAAAAAATTTATTTAAAAAAAACAACTGTTTTTCTTTTTTTTTAAATATAAAAAAAAATATTTTCTAAATTTAAAAAACAGATTATGAGAATTCTTTATAACTTACAATTATTTGAAATAAAAATAAACATATAGCTTGGGCGTCTGTAGCAGGATGGAAAAAAAATCCAAACAAAATAGTTTTTTAAAAATGGGGTTTTCTTAAAAATATATAGGGCTTTTTTTTAAATTTATATTAGGTTGATATTCCTTTTCCGCCAAACTCTATCACGCAGAAAACTTAAAAAAACTAATAAACCATCTAAAAAGCCCACTGTTTATTGCTATGGCTTCAGAAACCTCATTTGGACAAGCCTTAAACATTTTCAAAACAATGGAGCAAAAGCTAGCTGTCATCAAAGGAGACCCAAAGGAGGGATTTTACCTATGGCAAAGAATATTCATCGAAATTTGCCGATAGAGATTTGAAAATCACGGCCCAGCCCGTAGCCGGCTATCGGGTTCTGGACCGGGCCTGGTCTATTTTTAAAAAAAAATTTTGGTTCGGGCTGGGTCAGGCCTAATATTTTTTTTAAAAATTCAGACCGGGCCGGATCGGGCCTAAATTTTAAAATAAGGTATTAAATTTTGTGAAACAAATTGTTATTTCTTAAAAGGAACAAGGCGTTAATATTATTTATTTGTAGAATATTAATACAATCAAAAAAAATATTAAATTTTTCTATATTTAAATAAATTCTGGCCGTGAGGACAATAAATCTTAAATTTTATTTCGGGTCAGGCTTTTCGGGACAAATAAAAAAATTTTAAGGATCGGGCAGAGCCGGACAAATTTTTAAAAAATAATTTCGGACAGGGTTTGAAACATTAGGCCCGATGCAGGTCACTGGCCCATGTATATAAAAATAAGATTGATATTAAAATATACTTAGATGGAAGTAAAACGTCTTAGCCAGCAATTTTATTCGCACTAAAAAAAATTCGAGCAAAAATGGGTTTGTTTGCAAGATATAAATTATTCGCTAAATAAATTGAGCTATTATTTTGATTTGTCACTTGCTATACCTTGCACGTTTTTTTTTGTGAATAAAAGTGCGCTATTTAAATTGCATCCTAAATTATAGGCTAAGTGGAGTAAGAGATGTTTTTCTTTCTTTCCTTAGTTTATAACTATCAGAGACCTACAAAGTGCACGGTCTGGCCTGGATTTTTTAAAAAAAAATTTTCGGCCCTGTCAGAGTTTTATATTTTCAGGCCCAACCCCAAATATTTTTCAGCTCGGTCCGGATTTTTTTTTAAACATATAGCTAATAATGGCGATTTAAAAATATGGGTTCAAAATATGGCCAGATTATATATTTTTTTTAAAATTTAGGCCCGGCCTGGGTATTTTTACAAAAATAAAATATGGGCCGACCCGTGACAGGTCGGGCTTAGGGCCGAGTCGCCTGCATGTCTCTGATAAATATGTAGACGTTTTGTATTACTTTTAACTTCTCCGACTTTGTAATTCAAGAATTATACATTCGAATCTGATATCGATATTTTTGTGTCTTTTAAAAAAAAAATAATAAATAAAACACATTTTGAATAATTAATTAATATTTTGAAAATTTATATGAAATATTCTTTTACTAAAAATAGATTAAAAAATATTTTAATAAAATATATTATTTTTTTTAAAAAAAATTTTTAATAGTTAAAAATTAGAATTTCCCACTTCTTGTTTCATTTTTTATTTTTATCGAATATTTTCTTTCACAAATTTTCTAATATTCTTTTTTCTCTAAATTTAGTTATCGTCATCGTATACATAT